GACAGGTGCATTGTCATTCACATCAGAGATCTGTAAGGTGAGAGTGATGCTGCTGGAGAGGGAGGGGACTCCTTCATCGGAGCAGGTCACTGTGATGTTATACTGAGGTGACACTTCCCTATCTAAAGCTACCTCAGTAACTAGACTATAAAATCCACTCATTGTGTTTTGTATCTTAAATGGTATCTCATCATTAATTTGACACTTTACCTCACCATTTCTCTCAGAATCAGGATCATTTACGCTTAGCATGGCAATGACCGTATTCTCAGGAGAGTCTTCTGAAATAGTGTCTGATTTAGAGAGTATTTTTAACTGAGGGCTGTTGTCATTCACATCAATGACATCAATCAGAATTTTACTGGAATCAGAGAGTCCTCCGTTATCTGTAGCCTCAATATCGATTTGCAAGAGCTTGGCCTTTTCATAGTCTATTTCACCAGTTAAAATAACAACTCCAGTTTCTCGATTTATTTCAAAGAGGTCGGATAAACGCCGCTGACTACTTGAAAATGAATATGATATTTCTCCATTAGAGTCTCTGTCTTTATCAGACGCAGTAACGGTTATAATACTGGTTCCTCGCGGTGAATTTTCCGTTAATGTTGCTTTATACACTGATTTTGTGAAAACAGGTGCATTGTCATTTACATCTAGAACATTAACAGTAATCTGCATTGTGCCTGACATACGCGGTTGTCCACCATCCAAAGCAGTTAGTATCAGTGATATACGTTCCTCTTGTTCTCGGTCCAGAGGTTTCTGGAGGACCATTTCGACCTTTTTACTTCCATCAGCTTGGTTTTCTAGTTTTAGAGCAAAATTGTTTGTTGGCTTGAGCGAATAGCTCTGCAGACCATTTGTTCCAATGTCAGCATCTAAAGCTTTCTCCAATACAAATTTTGAGCCGACGATCGCAGACTCACTTATTTCAAAACGTTTCTCATTCGATGCAAAACTAGGAGCGTTATCGTTAATGTCTGTAATCTCTATTGTAACTCGGAACAACTCCATGGGATTTTCCAGAATCATCTGTAAATGTAAAGCGCAGGGCGTCGTTTCACCACACAGCGTCTCTCTGTCTATTCTCTCCTTAATAAGGAGAACACCCCTGTCTCTGTTCAGCTCGATATATTCCGCACTGTCGCCCGAATGAATACGAGCTTTACCCGATTTGAGCCTTTTAGAGTCCAAACCTAGATCCTGAGCCACATTACAAACTAAAGAACCTTTCTCCATTTCCTCAGGAATTGAGTAGCTGACCTGTCCGCACACACAAGAAATGCAGAAAAACGACAACAGCAGCAGCACTTGCCGTTTCGTCGTGTTGTAAGGATATTCCAAGAGGTAATCCATGTTGAGAATTACACAAATATTGAAGATATCACAAAGACAACATTGACAAAAAGTGGTAGCGGCGATTTCCGTGAGCAGTTATCCGTTTTAACGACAGCAGTCGGTGTGTGTCTGCTTTATTGTCTCATTGAAACCATTCTAAAGGGGAGGTACGTTTGCAAGCCCTATCTAAGACTGCCACACACTGGCCAATAGCGGCCCTTGCTGTTCAAAA